GTGCTCGGGCCGGGAGGCCCTGCTGCTGCCGCAGCTGCGCGCGCTGCAGGCTGCGGCAGGGGGTCGTTTGCGCGTGCTGCACACGCTGACGCGCGATCGGGCCGCCGCCCCGCTGCGGCTGGGCCATCGGCGCTTCGTGCCGGCGCTGGAGCCCACAGAGGCGGAGGCGCCCTTCCGGGGCCGCGTCGACATGGAGATGCTGCGGCACCTGAGCCAGTCGAGCCGGCTGTTGGTGTGCGGCCCGCAGGGCTTGCTGGCTGCGGTGGAGGCGGCGCTGCTGTCTTTGGGCCACGCCAAGGACCACATTCTGCTGCTGCAGGCCACAGCCACAGGGGTGCGCCCTCAGAGTGAGGAGAGCGACAGCGTCTCAGTGGACACGCTAAATTCGGATGCCGATTCTGATGCAGAGGCACCTTTCAAGGCAGGGCCTGTTCCTAGCATTGCTGTCTCACCTCCTACCATTTCCGTCTCACCGCCTACCATTTCCGTCTCACCGCCTTCCCAGCTCGAAGATTCCAAACCTGGAGATGTGTTGAGGGCACAACTCGCAGCGCAAGGGGGCCAGGGGGCTGCTCTCACCTTTGCTGACAGAGTTCGCCAGGCGAGTGAGCAAAATGCTTGCACACACACACACAATCCACAAAACGGTTCAATTCGCGCTCCAGGGTCTGCAAAGGGTGGTCGACCTTCTACGTCCTCAAGACCCTGGACTCTGTGCTCAAAAACATTGGCGAGGCGCACCACGCAGCACTGCACCCACATTGCCTGTTTGAGTGGAATACGTTTCTTGCTTCTAACAATGTGTGGTTTGCACACCGGTCGAGCTTCTGCCGCATGCCATCATCGAAACCTTGGACTTATTCTGTCAGAGGCCGCGGCAATCCTGGTGATTTACATCTTCGACGTGCTTGTTGCAGATGCGGCCCTACCCTTATCCCCTATTCTAAGACGTATTCCGGCAATTCGTCGAGTGGCTTCGGCCCGGAGGTCTCAGACATTTTGCCCGTGCACGGCAAAGACTTCCACATCGCCACGTGTTTGATGGCTCGGCACCTTGAGCCGTGTCCAATGCTCGCCGACATCTGTTGCGCTCAGGTTCTAGTCATTGTGCTGACCGTGATCAGCTACACCTTGGCTCCAACTTGGAAGTCTGCCAGAATCTGAGTGAACGCTGTGAGTGAAGAGCCAGCGGCTTGTGGCTCCCGTCGCTTGAGGCTTGACCACGCGGACCCGCTGGCTCAGGCTGGCAAAACGGTGCTGCCTGACCCGCTCCATGCTCGCCATGCTCGCCATGCTCGCCATGCTCGCCATGCTCGCCATGCTCTGTGCTTCATGCGGCTGAGAGGCTGTACAATGCCCTTGATTGCAAGCGTTGGCAAAAGAGTGCTGCACGGTGCATTTCACGCAGTCCTGCAGCCTCGGTGTGGAATCCATGCGGCAGTTTTGTGTCAGCTTATGGCTCAGTAAGGAATGCACAGGTAGTCGCGAGCGTATGGGCGGGGAGGGGTTAGTTGCTTAGCCCTGATCCGCATGGACAAGGATGGCAAGGCTCCGCCATCTGTTGCCAATGCAGACGACGAGGACGTGTCCCGCGAAGTTTACTTGGGAGTTGTCAAGTCCTACAACGACCGCCGGGGCTTTGGTTTCCTGGCATGTGCAGAGACCGCAGATCGCTTTGGACGAGATGTCTACATGCCGAAGGCGTGGTTTTCCAAATGCCACCACGTGGCAGCTTGTGGCACCATGACGCTGTGTCTTTGTTGTCTCCGGTAAGGCAGAGGCAACCATGGCTGCCCTTCTCGCTGCTGGTGTAGATAGGGAGACCGCAATCAGCATGGTCATGACCGGGCGCTGCGCTCGGTGATGTTGATGCAATGCTGCCTTTATGTCTCATGTTTGCGCGAGTTGCTCGGTGCCTTTGTGCGACCTGAGGAATACGGGGGCTTCAGCCTCCTCCGCCGCGGCAGCGGCGGCTTGTTTGGGGCCGGATGCTGCCAAGGCGGCGGCTGCGGCAGCGGAGAAGAAGGAAGACGGGGACAAGTCCACCGCGCCTCGTTTGGCCGAGGAGGACTTGGTCTTCTTTCGGGTCCGCCGCAGCGTGGAGGGCTATCCCCAGGCGGTCTGTGTCCAACGCCTTCAGAAGCTCACGGGAACCGTGGTCCATCCGCCGTCCACGCAGCCTGGACAGCCACAGCATGGAGCGCTCACAAGCGACGAGGCCAGAGCCAAAGAAAACATGCGCTTCAAGCCTTCAAGCCTTCAAGCCTTGAAGCCTTCAAGCTTGTGCCAGGCTGTGGCGGTTTGCGGGCGCAGGGAGGCCTGCTCGTTGTTGCAACGCATTGCACAGTGTCTTGCAACAGACATGCGCACAGGTGTCGATGGAAGTAGAAGCCTGCGGTCAGTTGCGACTAGTCCCTGGGGATGTGGTGACTTTTTGCATCCCCGAGGCAGGGCCAGGGCAGCCGTTCCTTTTGCATATGGCGCAGCTTAAATTCTAAAAGCCAGTACTGGTTCCGCAAAGACGGCATATTTCTGAGTCGCTTGAGCCTGTGCGCTGATGCGATGCCAGGCTGAGGCAGAAGGCGCCGCCAGCGCCGCGGCCAAAGAGCCTTTCGCCAAGATGGTCTCGTTGACCTGCACGGCCCGCGTGACCGGCAGCGTCCTGGGCTGCTTCACGTTGGACCTGCCCCGGACGCGCGACGAGCCGATGGCGGCGCGGCCCAACCTGCGGCTGCCGTGCCACGCCTTCGGGGACAAGTTGGTGCTGGCGGGGCTGCCGGGAGACCTGGACGAGGCGGAGCTGATGAAGTTCTTCTCCAAGCAGGGCGCCAGCTCAGCCATCGTGGCGCACGCGCGGACCTGCAGCTTCGCCTCCGTGTCCTTCTCCTCCTTCGGGGAGATCGCCAAGTTCCTGGCGCGCACGGCCCACGCCTACGCGGACGAGAAGGGCACCCTCATTGCGCGGCTGCTGCCACTGGAGGCTCCGGACATGGCCACGCTGCCGGCGTTGCCAGCGCCCTCCCTCACCAGCAACCTGCCCGAGGAGGCCGAGCCGGGGTCGCTGATGGTGTACTGGTCGCCGCTGGTGCTGGCCGTGGCCTACTCCGTGGAGCTGCGCGTGGCCGGGAGCACGGCTCCCTGGTCCTCCGTAGATGTGGCCTCCAAGCGCCTAGTGGCCACCACCAACCGCTTTGACTCCAACTGCTCCTCCTGCAAGGTGACGGGTCTGCAGCTCACAGCGGCCTACGAGGCCCGGGTCTCCTACTTCACGGAGTGCGGCACCATGTCCGAGTCCTCCGAAGCCTCGGAGCCGTGCGTACCCTCCCAGGGCGCCTCCAAGGACGCGAAGCCGCCGGCGCACAGCCCGAAGCTGCCCCCGGCGTCGCTTTCCGAGGCCTATCCCAAGCCCTTTAGCCATCCAAGCCATCCAAGCCATCCAAGCCACTCCAGCCACTCCAGCCACTCCAGCCACCCAAGCCACCCCCTCTCCAGCCATCCCAGCCATCCCAGCCACCTGATGCCGGCGCACGTGCCCCCACCCACTTCTCCCTGGCCTTGGACGCCGCCGGGTGACGTCTACCCGCCAGCCGCAGATGTTCTAGGCCGGCTTTTTGTTTATTTGTGCCCAACTCTCAAACACGTTTTTGTCAGGTCCAATTTCAGTTTCCATGATTCTTCTGTCGTGAGGCTACAGTCCGCCTACCTGGCGCTCGCCCAGTGGCTTGGTGGTGCCTCCACCTGCCGCGCCTGAGCTGTGCCCCGCCGACGAGTTTGGCTTTGCCCTGTCGGTCCGGCTTTGGACTTAGAATGTGCCACAGATCTCTGAGATGCATCCACTTCATTCGCTCAGGTGGCCAGCAGTGCTGCAGGCTGCTGCCTATGTGGTTGAGCTGCGCGAGGTGCTTTCCCCAGTTGCCACTGCGCTAGATGTCAGCCGCCATTCTTGCAGGCAGACACCAGCGTTTTCGAGCGCTTCGTGAGGTCCGCTCCAGAGGCAGGGGAATCATTGCAGGCTGTGAGGGCTGCCTGTGGCCGGCATTGCAAATGGCCCATGTTGACCCACCTCGCGCAGGCGAAGCTTGGCACTTTGGTGGAACTTCGGGTCGGAGGCCTCCGACCAGGTCCTCCGCCGGGTCGTATCTACATGGCGCAGGCAAGGGCTCGAGGGTTCGATTGGCTGCGCTACGCCCGCTTCCCATTTGCAGCTTTTCCAAGGTGCGCACCGTTGGCGCTGATGGCTGGGAGTCCATTCCCTCGGCCCCGGGCTGGTCTCCACCACTCCCAGCGCTGGAGGAGACCTCCGGGCCCACCAGTGGAGCCGGCGCCGCGGGTGCCGCGGGCGCTGCGGGCGCCGCGGGCGCCGCGGGCGCCGCTGGTCTGTCCGCGGACGCTGCGCCCTGGCAGCCCGAGCGGTGGAAGGCCCCAGCCAGCCCCGGCCCCGGCCCCGGGCCCCGCGAGGATGTGCTGTGGGGTGTGCCTCCTCCCCCCTCCGGGCCGCCCACTTTCGGGGCTCTCGAAGAGAGTGCCAATGAATGTTTGATCCTGGATTGAAAAGGATCGAGAAGGGACATCGGTTTCTGTATTCGGCGACCTTGGATGATAGCTTGGTGCAAGGATTCCTTCAATATTGGCTTGTTGCTGCTTACCTTCATCCAAGACTGTGGCGAAGTCAGCCAAAGTGCAGGCTGACACATGTGCTAAAACAGCATTGTATTGTGGCAAGGGCTGACATGCTGTGACTGTCCAAGCGCAAATGGCAAGGTTCTGTTTGGTGCCTCAGGGAGCGAATAGGTTTTTGGCGTTGCAGTCATTCGCATGATGTGCACTTGGGTAGTTTATCAAGAGTAGCAGAATCAGGTGCGCTGAACGGCAGTCATGCTGTGTAGAAGCACTTAAAGGTGTTGCATCGTTGTGTAAAAAAGAGAGAGAGTGCGCACGTCGCTTTGCGTTTTGCCTTGTTGTCTTCAGCAGTGGGCCCGTGCAAGAAGTCTCGTGCGCAGCCTGGCCTTGTCTACTACCAGCATGAGAGCGGCCAGACGCAGTTCGAACGTCCAAGCACAAGGTGTGCCATGTGTTCACTGTGAGCGAGCAGTTTACATCATACATGTGATTCATGTGATTATTCAATACTTCATTCATCGAATTCACTACACGCTTATTCATCTGCCATTTCTCTCTGTTCAGAGTGAGTCTTGGAGTCTTGGGCCCCTGCACCGCAGGTCCACCAAGGACCCTTTGGCAAAGTCACTGGAGGTGGAGGAGAGGCGAAGGATCGAGGCTGGGCTGCCAGGCTTAGAGGCTTAGACTTGCACGAGTCTCCTTTCTCAGGAGGAGAAGAAGCAGGCCGAGTGGCGAGTGGCGGAGTGGCGGAGTGGCGGAGTCCAAGTGTTTGATCCCGCAGGCGGAAAAGCTGCCCGAGAGAGCCGTGCAGAAGGGCGAAGCTCGGGTTTGGCATATCCTCAAGAAGCACAGGCACCATTGGGTTCAAGTCGTAGGTGTCAAGTTGCAAGGGGTGAGGCGACCTGCGTTCCATTGGCAGGGACTTCTTTGGCAAACCAGCGAAGTCTTGGCGGCAGAAGGACATTACCTGGAGCAAAAAGGAGGCAAGGATTTTCAGATGTTCCGCATGTTCCGCACGCCCGAGTGAAGACGGAGGCCAAAGAAGCTCTCAAGAATCTCAAGTTCAAGTTGGAGAACGTGGCGTACGGAGGTGGTGCGCAGGCCCCGTTACTCGGAGTTACTCGCTGTCAACGTGCCACACTGAGTCCGCAGGCGCTACAAAAGAAGTTTGAGAATTATGCCCGTGCGGAAAGCGACGACGACGTGCGAGCTGCGAGTTTGAGTCAACCTTTTTGCAGATTTGGAAGATTTGGATGTTCATGGCAGATCTCGGCCAAAGTTGGCGGCGACTTGGGGTTGGCCCTTAGTTCAGCAGCTTTCTTTGCCAATTTTCGCTTCCGACATGTTGCGCGCGAGGCCAATCACTAAGAGGAGGAAGTTGTTCGGCGGGTATGAGATATCCAAGGCCGCGCCAACAGAGGAAAGGGGCGTGAAAGCTGTGACGCTGGCAGACTACCTTCGAATTGAAGATTGGCACCATCTCCGACATCGTCGAGAGTACAGAGGTACCTTTGTTTTTGTTGTTTTCTTTTTTTCTCTCGCTCTCTCTCTCTCTCACTCTGCCTTGTTCCTTGCTCATGCCTTGTATTTGAATTCCACTGGGAAGCAAAGTTCCAATTCGGGTTTGGCCTCAGGGTGTGCACCTTGTGGGCCGCTTCGAGTGACAAAGAACACCCGGCTTTTGCCTCTGCGCTTGCAAAGGCAAGCAGAAGGTTCGCTTTTTGGCCAATGGCAGTTTCACGGTGGGCGCGGCTCCAGCATGGACAGGATCCGTTCAGAAGCCCTCTGGCAAGCGGCACAGCGCGTGGCATGCTTCGGGCATCGCTTGACGACATTTCGCCCGCAGCATTTGTGGCTGAGATGGAGCTTAGATTCCTGGAGGCATGAAAGATTAACTTGGCCAGGAGGCAGGCGGAATGGGGTTGCAGAGCGCAGACAGAGTTGAGCAGAAGGTCATGCTGATCCGCATCCTCCTGGCCAGCCTTGCGCTCCTTGCTGCCATCTACTTCTTGAAGGCGTGGCACGTAAGCAATGGCATATTTTTTTTGGCAGAAATCGTTTGCCTGGAGAGGCCGTTCTCTTGCAGTTGAGTGCTGAAGATGTCGACGAGCCAGCGGAGCCCGTCGCCAGCACGCCTCACAGCCTGCACCCCAACTCTCTCATCGTAGTGGTTGCCTGCGCCAGGCAATGCCACAGACTTGGAGAGGGCACAACAGGCCTTCAGGCGGGAGGGAGTTGGCATTTCTTCTTGTTCCACTGGTCGTCGCCAGGGTGGGCGAAGATGCAAAGGCGGAGACTTGAGGGGGCTACACCGAAGTGGGCCATTGCCGTCTCAGGCGCTGGCCACATTGACAAGCTGCACACAGGACTCCGAGGCCGGAAACTTGGGGAACTCGTTCGGATCCTCGTGGAACTTGCGGGTCAAGGCATGCAAGACGCAGCTGGGGGAGATGTACCTCGTTGGAGCCGGACTGCCTCGAAACCTCACAAAGGCGAATCCGGCCATCTTTGCAGCTCGTGCTCCAATGTCGTGTAGGTTTCTGCAAATGGATGGATGGAAGACGTTCAAGTATGTAGCTTGACGTGGCGTGCTTGTCATAGATATCCTAGAGCCAAGACTCTGTGCCTCGTCGGCACGTGCCATGTTACAAGCACCTGGTCACCTAGAACTTGTGAATTTCAGACAACCCAGGACAAGGATTCTTCTTAAGACACACACGCACAGACAGACACACGCGCACACACACACAGACACACGCAGAGGTGTAAGGTCAATCCAACATCATCCAACTACATCCACTCTAAACATTCGCATTGGGGCCTGCTTGCACATTTCGGGCCGCATACGTTTTGACCCGGAGGCAAAGGAGCTCTTCGAGGATGCGGCGGAGAAGGGCGATCCAGACGCGCAGTACAACCTGGCGATCCTCCACGCCTCGCTGCCAGCCCGCAACGCAACCCTGGCCCGTCTTCACGTCGCTTCGCACGGCATTTGCATTTCGGGGAGCTGGGTGCACGGAGGAAGACCTTCGACGGAACGAGGCGCGGCGAGAAAGGACTTGTTGGGCACCAAATTTCGCCAGCTTGAGTTAGCACTGACTGAAGGGAGACTTGAATGTGCACCAAGCCGACAGGCACTTGCAGTGCTGCACCTCTATGCAGCCTCTACTGCAGGTGCTGGGCTGACGGGCTGTGGGCTGGCTGTGACCTGGCAAGAGTTGCACAGGTCATCCAGGCGCTTTGATGGCCATGGGCTATCGGCACCTTCATGGCTATGGAGTCCCTCAGGCGAGCCGCGATCGAGCTTCGAGTGTCCCCTGCGCCTCGATGCCCCCAGGCTTGCACCACGGCCGCCTTGAACTACATCGACGTGGCCAAGGGCATTGCCAGCATCTACAGCTCAGGCATGCCACAGGCTGTGGAACTGGTGCGCCTGAATCTGCCGCACAAAGAGAGGAAGGCCGGGCATGGCATCTCATGGCGACTCATGGCATCTCATGGCATCGGATGCCAACTCATGAAGCCTCATGATGCCTCATGGCCTCCCTAGGCTCGAGAATCGATCTAAGAGCTCGATTCTCGGGTTTTTCTGAGGTCATCAGCTCTTCGGAGCTGAATCTTTTCGTCCAGATTGCAACCAGCGGCGATAGCACTGTGGCTGCCGCCATTGGCAAGCGGTACCTCTTGGGCATCGAAGGTTTCAAGCAAGACCTCCAGAAGGCAGGGGCGGCAGGTGAGCGGGAGAGATGACGCAGATCTCAGTTCTGCTCAGGCAAAGCAGTACTTGAAGATGGCTGCCAACCGGAATCATGCCGGTGCCGTGGCGCTGCTTGGCTACATGTACTGCCTCGGCCGGGTCCCCAATGCCGTGGCTCTCGCCGTTCACATGCAGCTGTCGCCCATGAGGCCTGGGCATGCCCCAGAATCTGGACACGGCCTATGCCTACTTTGTCACTGCGGCCAATCAGAACGATCCTTTGGGCCACAACGGCCTCGGGTACATCTACTTCCGCGGCACCAACGCACAGGCAGGGCGGCGGCCGCATCGCTCGTGGAGTTCGCCTAGCTTCGGGCAGCTTCATGCAGGCACGCAACTTGCGCTTGGCCTTCAAGCACTTCAACGAGTCCGCGTATGGTGGTTCATCTGACGGCATGTTCAACCTGGCCAGCATGTGCGCTCGGAGCAGTTGCCGGTACGAGCCAAAGTGAGTCAATGAGGTACCTCACCGGGTCCGGGGCTGAGCAGTCCTTCCAAAAGGCGGTGCTCTACTATACCCAGGCGCGTGATATGAGCATCGCGCGCGCGTGCGGGATGTGCGTGCCATGTCTACTTCCCCAATCGCCAGGCCCTGGACCGTGGCCACACTCCAGCCGCGTACTCCTTGGCAGTGATGCACCTCAACGGCATCGGGCCGCAGCCTCGGGGCCCTGCCAAGCCTTGAGACATACGGCTGCGGGGCTAGGACAGTGAGGGACTGCGACATCGCTGTAAACCTTCTGAAGAAGGCACGGGAGCCAACCGCTGGTGCGCGTGTCGCTCAACAGTAGTAAGCCCAGGTGTGTGAGAGGGGAGAATGGTTGTCCAGCAAGCTGGTGAGCGCCTATGACTTTGGCCATGCCCCCAGATGGAGTGCGAATGCCATCTCCAGTTGATGTTCTTGAGGTGACAAAGAGCCTGACAAAGCTGCTTTGATGTTCTTGAAGCTGGCGGAAGCTGGGCACGAAGTCCCTTGGATTGAGAGAAAATGCCAGCTGCATTCACGACTTGCATGTTGAGTGTTTTGAGGTGTCGCAAATGAACGTTGCGCATCTTTTTGACCACGGGCACGCTAACTTGCTCTTGCCTGACGAGCCCGGCAGGGAGACCCAAATCCGAGACGTAGATGCTGAGATACGAGTTGGGCAGTGTCATTTCCAGGTGATAAGCCCCGAGCACGGGCAGATGATTACGATGCCGAAGATGCGCGATATCACGCCCGGAATGTTGCTCAGTCTCCTGGCTGATTCGATGTGAGAATCACCTTGATGAAATGCATCGCGCAGATGCACAGACGTGGAGAATTTGTGAGGCGTTTCTACGAGCTTTCTGCGGAGCAAGGAAGCGCCTCTTCAGAGCTTCGGCTGGGAGACTATGCCTACTATGGTGACACCAGCATGTGGCTTTGCACGTGGAACATGCCACATCAGCCCTGCCAGGTTGGGGGATGTCTTCCAGCTTCACCGAGACGCCCTTGCCAGAGACGCCCGTGCCAGATGATTGGCAAGACTTCCCCTTGCCATCCATCTACACCAATGACATAGTTGAGCTCTTTCCTCAAGAAGTCGACTACGAGGCTGCCTTGGCGAGGTATCGCAAGACAGCAGACATGACGGTGACGGGGGAATGGATGCAGAGCTTCGTTGCGCGTGCCTCCTTCAATCTGGGCTTCATGCACCAGTTCGGCATCGGCATTGGGCAGGACCCATTGTCAGAAGTCGTGCATGTCCTGCGACATTTGTTCCCACCAGGACCTCAACATGGCAAAGCAGCACTACTTCCGCTGTCGCGAAGTCGACCCCATCGGATTGCACGCACCTGTGACCATTGCCTTGGCCACACTTGCATGCCATGTGTATCCCTGGCATGTTTGGCTCTCAAGCTGCGCTCATTGACTTGCACTGTCTTGCACTCGATCTTGGCTCATATTCAGGCTTTACACGCGGTTGCCAAACGGAGACGAGCTGATGGCTCGCCTGTCGGCCGACGTTCGAGTCCACGTGCTCCTGCTGCATCTCATCGCCGTGGTTGTCATGGCCTGCCTGCCATGCTTTCCACTCTTTGTTTTATATGGCTATCAAAGTGCTATCAGTTGTGACTGTCCGGGCTATCAAAAGGTGATGCTGCAGTGCTACTTGTCGAGCAGAAGAAGAAGCGGGCCAAGGGTACGGGTGCGGCGGGAGGCCGGGATGCTTCAAGAAAACAGACCGCTTTGGACATGTTCTCATCTTTTCATATTTGCCGAAGTCAATGTGTTTTCATGTTAGTCTTTTCTCCGTTCTCCCTTTTCTGGTTCGGCTTCGAGCTCTCGAAGCGCTCCAGGGCCGACCGCCAAGTCCGCGGAGTCCACGCCCTCGGCCAGGCGCCTCTTCGACGCGTCGATTTCCTCGCTCAAAGAGGATTGGTTTTCTTCGAATCGGAAAAACGATCTCCGACATCGAAGAAACTCGTGTGGCACAAGTGATTTGCATCGTTTGATCCGCAGGCAGCGCTGAGAGCCGGCGCGCCGGGAATGTTGTGCTCGATTGAGACATAGCTTCTCGTTTCACTCCAAGGGGGTTGCTGTTTTGGGCACTGCGATGATTGTCTCAAGCCCAAAATTCTTTATGGCAGCCCAACTTGGCAGGGCGTAGGTTTAGGACGGACAGCGTGAAGAGACCACTTGGCCCAGGGTCCGTGTCTTGGGTCAAACAGCATGCATGGATCAGCGCTTGGTAACCGGTGCATTTCGATTAGTGTTCATATGCACATGAGTTTCGGCTCTAGGCCTCTGCATTGCCCAACACTTGGCGCTTGTGTATTGATGAGCCTACTCATGTTGACTTTTTGTCTGCAACCAGCGTTGTTGCTTCTTTCATGCATCTGAAACAGACTGAAGACTGACTGCAGCCAACTTGGCCCTTGGTGCGCATGGCTCTGCATGGCTTTGCATGGCTTTGGCACCTCTTCTAAGATCTGCGGCGGTGCTTGATCTTCTGGAGGCCGCTGCATCGACGCTTAGGGGTCCTGCTTGAACTTGACACATTTCCTCTGGGTGCCAATTGGTCATTTGGTTACGGCTCAGGGTGATGTAGTGCTGCCCACTCACCAGCCATGCCTCGAGAAGGTCGGCGAGAATGCGGAGGATCTGAGGCCGAAGCTGGCCTCTGCGGACGTGGATGCACGGGTCTTCGGTCTGCAGGCCTTCTTGGAGAACCCAGTGAAGACGCTGAAGACGCTGTCTCTCAGCAAGGCCCGGAAGAGTCGCTTCAGCGTCATCGGCCGGGCCCTGGGCGCTCGGAGCTCCCGGCACTGCGCACCCAGCGTCGCGGCGCTCACCGAGTCGGTAGCCCTCATCGCCGGCCTGCTGAAGCGCCGGCGCAACGGGAAGCACACGGAGACGGAGCCGACGGAGCCGACGAAGCCGACGGAGCCGGCGGAGCTGGCGGTGGTGGCCGAGGCCCTCAGCTCCGCTCTGCAACTGCTGCAGGAGTTGCCGGAGGACGAGGACGAGTTCTTCCACTTCCTGGAGAAGCTCTTGGCCAAAGTGCGCTGGGCTGCGCTCCACCCAGGCAGCGTCCTGCTGATTCCTTGCAGCTCCACGAGCAACCAGAGAGATGAGAGAGAGGAGAGAGGGAGGACTTGACGCAAGGACTGGCACACCCGAGCTAGGCTGATCCTCATGTTTTCAGAGACCACTTGCTGAGGTGGATGGCTACGTCGGAGGTCATCCGCTGCAAGCCCTCAGGATGACCTGGGACACTGCGTGCTGCTGGTCCTGCACCGCTGCAAAGATGAGGAAGAGTTCCTGATGGGCGTGATCAACACGGGCGAGGGGCTGCAATATCACCCAGCTAGCTTGTCCCGAGTTCAGCCGAATCCCGAGATGGTGTTGCGACAATCGCCCTTGATTCTCAACAAGATACCACTGGAACGAGCATGCTCTAGTGCAGTTTGGTACTTGCTCTTCCGCCAGATCATGCATCCAGATCCTGACAACGGCTCCTCAAATGCACAGCTATCTTTTGGCTCGAGAGGAGTACACCAAATGCAGCTCACCAAAAGAAATGTGCCTGTAGCTGAGGCGCTGATGCCATGTACGGGGTGCTCCTGCCCTTTCTTAATCAGAAGCCTCTCAGCGCCAACGACCCCGAGGGCTCCTGGCACGAGCCGCTGCCGGCGGCCGGCGATCGGTCCTTCGCGCTGGCCGTGGAGCGCTCCGTGCGCTTCATGCTGGTGCTGTCCGGCATGGAAGAATCAGATGCCAGCTGGTGGAGCAGCGTCAACTTGCGCATCTCAGCAAGAAACATGTCAGAATCAAGCAAGGCATACCAGGACATACCAGGGCATAGCGAGGCATAGCGAGGCAGAGCGAGGCAGAGCACGCAACTTGCCGTTCCCATGACACGCTGCAAAAGCCGGCGCATGGCAGCGCACTTGGGGTTTCCAAGGCCAGGCGCTGGTGGAGTGCATGGAGGAGGCGCTGACGGCCCAGGACCTCCGGGCCCCCGCCACCGGGGAGTTCGCGCTGCTGCGCGTGGGGATCAGCTCGCTGGCCCGCGCCGCGCAGACCCAGGCCTCTCGGGCCAAAGAGCCCCAGCTCAGGGAGGTCCAGGCCTACGTGGAGCGTCTGGACGCCAAGGCGACGGGTTTCAGAAACAGATCTGAAAGATCTGAAAGATCTGAAAGATCTGAAAGAGAGTTTTCAGATCTGAAGGCACGGAAGTGTTGAGACAAATTTGAGTCGGAGGCCCTGAACCTGGAGCACTCGCAGCGCCACGCGCGGTCCGTGCAGCCGCCAGCCTGGGTGGCGACAGACACGGAGACACGCTTCGGGGGCTTCGGGCGCGTGCTGCTCCAAGACGTGGAGCCCTTGAAGGGCGAGGCGCCCGGGAAAGTATCTGGGAAAGGACGGACATTGGGACACATGTTTGTTTCGGGGGCGCGGAAAGCCAGAGAGAGTATCTCGAAGCTTGTGAAAAAGCCCCCTTGTTTTTATGTATGGCTCGTAGGCATGCAATGAGACGGCAAACCATGCGAGGTCAAGCATGGCTCCCTGATATTGCCCTGCCTGCCTTCAGCACTTCCAGCAGAGATCAAGAACTGCTCAGAGGCTGCGGAATGCTGCCGTTTGGTCAGCAGCATGCTCACCCTGATGATGAATCAGCAAAGTCGCTTGCCTCACGCCCCTGCATCCTGCTTCGCTTTGGTGGTGCACTTGATGGCCAGATTGCTTCCGATGCCTTTGCCGGTAGATGATGCCCAGCCAGAAGCGTGCTTCTGGGCGACGGACTTGACGGTGGAGACCAAGAAGGACCTGCTGCGCAGTCTGCACATGATCTGCCGCGGCTTCTCGGCGGCAGCCACCGCGCTGAGCGCCGCCCGCGCCACCCGCGAGGCAGATGGCGCACGGACCTGCGTGGCCGCCGCGCTGGTGGCGGTCATGGACGCGCTGCTGCGCCGGCCGCTGTCGTCGCAGCTCGCTGAGAATCTTGCTGTGCAGGAGCGGCACGGGGACCTCTTCTCGCTGCACTACTCGGGCCAAAGCGGCCAGAGCGGAAGCCAGAGTGGAAGCAGCGGTTTCCGGGGTCCGTGTCAGCCCTTTGTGTTGGGCTCGGGCACATTCCGGGAGACCTCGGAGGCGCTGCTGTTGCCGCAGCCGGAGCTGGCAATGCTCCGCGCCCAAGCTCTGGACTACTTCCAGAGCCTCGAAAGCGAGGGCTCCCATGCCATCTTCAACTTCGACCAGGCCATGACGCCCAGCTCCGCAGACCGTGCCGGGCCCAGAGTGGGAAAGGAGCAGGGAGGATTGACGGCGTGTGATGGTGAGAGCGATAACATAATATGTGGCCATTGTCAGAGAGTGTGTAGCTTTTCCGTGTTCTTCCGTGTGCCCATATTTTGTGAGTCAAGGATTGCTGGTGGAGCAGCTGAGTTTGAGCATCGGTCTGGATGCGCCTGCGAAGCCCCGGCTCGCTTTGGCAAAGTGAGCCCAAAACGAAGAACATCATCAAACCACAGCTAGTCTTCTTACAACTTGAGTTACGTGGCCAAAGCTCGACTTAACGATTTACAGTCATTTCTCGCAAAAAACAAGTTATCTAGTTGCAATTCATGGTCCATTGCAACGTTAACAGCTGTGTCGAACATGGTGTGTATCAAAAACCGCATCCCCTGGTTTCCAATCGAAGCAGCGTACAAGCTCAACATGGGACATTGGACACTTGCCTCCAGGCACTCTTTGCTCACAGGGGAGCGGCCTGAACTGATCGACTTCTTCCCCGAGCTGGGCTGGCTTCGAGACGTGTCCTGTTCGAAGTCCGCATCTTTTGTGCACGCATGCATGCAAGCACGCA